GAATCCCCTTCGCCTGCCATCCTCAGAGCCTTTTGCTTTCAGCATTCGCACTTCCGCCTGATCTCCTGCCTGAGTTCGTCTCAGCCATGACCCTTTGGCTGCACTAAGGGGGGGGGGGGGAAGGGGGTCCTTCAGGAGGAGCCTGAGGAAGAGGAAGGGGCCTGAGGAAGATAAGCGAGTGAGGGGGCCACCATTTTTTTAAATTTAAGACTTGGCCTGAGTCCCCACTCAGGCTCAGTCACTCTGCGAAAAGATACTCAGGGGGATGCTGAGGGTCGGGCTGAGGGCTTGGGTTATAGGGTTGAATTATTTGTTTAATTAGGGTTCAATTAGTCAGGGGTGAAGTGGGTTTATTCAGGGCTAATTTAAGGGTTTAGGGTTGAAGCCCAATGACCTAAACCCAAACCCTAAACCCTAAAGAAACCCCTTTGCATCTAAGGAAGACTCAGATGAAGATGGCCGTCTTCCTGAGCTTTGCCCTCCTCAGTGGGCTCAGCTTGGCCAGCTGCTGGGCTGCACTTAGTCTGAGACAGGAGTGAGTGCTTGCATCTAGGACTGAGACAGAGCTTGAGCATGAGGAACTTGTTTTTTCTTCAGAGCACTTTTGGTCCTCAGCATCCTCACCAGCAGCTCGCCTAAGTAATCACTTAGCGAGCCATGTCCTTCCCGCCATTGAAGGCTTCTTCTCAGGCTCCTCCTCAGAGCTCTGCTCAGCCGGTGCTTATCCCTCAGAGCCTGGTGCCTCCACCACCACCTGAGCCCCACCAGCTCTTCAGAGTTGGTGTTGAGGGTCCTAAGCAAAGGCTTCAGTACGACCGCACCATCGAGCCTGAGCCCTTCTTCCTTTGTCCTCAGTGTGAGGATCGTAAGGTGCACACTAAGATCTTCCTCAGCCGAATCCTGCATCAGACCAGGTGTGTTGAGTGCCACGGCTCCTGGCCGGCCTCAGTCATCCTCAGGTTCCACACTGAGATCCTTCCCATGATTGAGGACCTGCCCTGGAGCAGACACTTAGCCCTGAGGTACCGAGTCATTCCTCAGAACAAGATGACGCCGAACTCAGGAGTGGACCTGAGCTTTCGTGGTCAGCCTGGGTCTGAGGCTGTGCCTAAGGCAAGCCCTCCCAATCCTCCTGAGGAAGATGAGCCATGGAGTGCAGAGTCGGTTCAGAGGTGGCTGAGGAAGACTGAGGACCGCCTCTCAGCCCTGGCCTTCAAGCTGAGAGGTTCCGGCCACTCAGAGAATGCCCTGAGAGACTGCATCTACGATGTCAGGGCAGCTCAGAAGGATGCCTCAGGCCTGCTTGAGGACCTCCATTCTCAGGTCAAAGACTATGAGGACCTCATTGAGGCTGTGCGAAGCTTTGAGGAAGACTGCCTTCAGGGCCATCTTGAGCTTGCCGACCATGTTGAGGAGAGGCTGGACTCGAGGCGAGCTGAGAGGGAGGCTCAGCAGGCCCAGCGGGCTCAGGCAAGTGCTGAGCCTGTTCCTCAGCCCAATTCTGAGAGCGACCTGAGCGGCCTGAGCCCTGAGGAGCAAGCTCAGCTGAAGAAGCTTCTGGCGAAGATGGGCCAGGGCCAAGCCTCAGCAACATCCTCAGCATCATCGTCAGGCCAGCAAGCTGAGACCGCCGAGAACTGGCTGAGGCACCAGTGATCGCTACCTGAGTCAGCGATCAGATCTGTCTCCTGAGAGAGACTGTTTTTTTGCACTGTCTCCTGAGAGAGACCGATTTTTGAAGAAGGCCTGAGAGCCTGAGAAGACTCCTGCTGAGATGTGTGAAAAGGAGTGCCTCAGTGAAGCCAAGGGTTCCCAAGCGATGAACTAAGTGGGGTTCAGTATTCCTTGAGTTCTGCATGTCCTCGCATCTCAGGTCCAGTCACCTCAGAGCTCTCGGTTCTGGTGACTCAGCTCAAGGACTGGGGTTTGGACGCCTCAGTCTGGGTTCCTCAGCTGCTTTTGGTGTTTCTGAAACTACTTAGGGCTTAATTAGGGCTTAGGGTGGTTTAGGGTTTAGGGTTTAGGGTTTAATTAGGGTTTAGGGTTTAATTAGGGTTTAGGGTGGTTTAGGGTTTAAGGTTTAGGGTTTAATTAGGGTTTAGGGTTTAGGGTTTAATTAGGGTTTAGGGTTAAGGGTTTTCCGCGCTCAGGCTCACATCTTCGTCCTGAGCTTCGTCTTCGGGGTCGCCTTCAAGATGTACAAGTTCCTGAGTGATGTCCTCTGGTACCTGCAAGCTCAGGACACGTGTCTCAGTTCAACCCTGATCCCTAAACCCTTAGACCCTAAACCCTAAACCCGAGACCCTAACCCGAAACCTTAATTAACCCTAAGCCCTAATGAAACCCTACACCCTAAACCTGGAGGAGGGATGGCTCAGTGGTATCTCAGACAGGGTCACCCACATTGAGCGCCGAGACTCAGGCAGCACCTCAGGCAAACCCAGAAACCCAGAAATCCCTAAGCCCTTAAACCCCTACAGCCCCTCAGCCCTGAAACGCC